AAAAAAAAAAAAACTGGGGTGCCCCACCTGGCTCAGTCAGAAGAGCATGTGACTCTTGATCTCGGGGTTGTGAGTTTGAGTCCCAAGTTGGGAGTAGAAATTACTAAAATAAACCTGCCAATAAAAACAATTTCCTAAGACATATTTATTCTTAAACACTCATATTTTAGCCATCTAAATATATTGGCACATATTTTAGCCATCTGGTCTACCTTGCACAATTGCAGTGCCATGAGGGGAGGATGAACACTGGGAACGATGATCTGAGGGCACTGGGCAACTCTACTGCACAAGGGAAGGATCACATGTGCACATATGTGTTTTAGGAAGATTTTTCAAGAAGGGACTCAAGGAAAAAACATTTTTTTAAACCCTCAGTTAATTAAGAAGTGTTAGGAATTGGAATATCTCCTCACCCCAAACACCTAATTAACAAGTTTGTCCTTTGTTTGATTGGTTAGTTCCTGAGGCAATTCATATACGAGCTGTGCATAGGAATGAGTATCTGCATTCACAAATCATAAGAAAACGTGGAATGTGGTGGGAAACACAACTGGACAGACGCTGGTCATTATATTAGACTGTTCACTCACGTGAAAAACAACCGAAGGACTGGCCGGTACTACCCTGATTCTCTTACAACTTGGACATATCGCGAAAGAGCAGGGCAGTGTCCTCTTGCCAGCCTGTGGGCACATTTCTTGGGCAAAAGTTCCGCAACAGAACTTTATTAACCAATTTTTCTTCACATCATCCCTCCACTGAAAAAGGAAGCAGCTTCAGAGAGAAATCACCTAAATGCACCTTCCCTTTTCCCAGGGCTCCCTAAGCTTCAGATAAATGACTCACCAGTAGAAATATTTGTGGACATACTTACCTGAGCCTGCTTAGAAGTTTCTTGATTAGGCTTTTTATACCTGGTGGGGGGTGGATTGCTGGAAATGTGTAGAGATGGAGTTCTTTATCATTAGAATAAAGTTTCATCTGGCAACACACTCTACTTATCATTTCGGGAGCCAAGCTGGACTCAGAAAGAGCACAGTGAAATGAGCTTATGAAAATCAAGTTTTCCCATTCCCCATTCATCTCAGTACATTAGCAGCACGGGGTCCAGATTCAACCTTAGGTGGTTTACTCTGGACCATTCTGGCTGTAATGTACGAATCAGGCAGAATTCACGGCTTGATTTTCACTTTCATCAGCTAGAGCTTGGCTTTGCAGAAGTAAGGACAGTAAAGAAATTTACGAGAATAAAATGACCACTGCGGTGCTGAAGGACAGCACTTCAGAGAATTCCAAATGCTTTTTCTTTCTTTCATTTCTCTTCATTTTGTTTTTAAATGGGAGCATATGCTTATTAATTTTTAAATACATTTTTTTTCCCCGACAGGTCATTTGAACTTTAATGCATTGTCTGGTCACTTTATTATAGTCTGCTCTGCAGGGCAAAAAGGAAAGTTTTCCTGGCATCAGCAGGTCCCCATTAGCACAAAAGCAAAGCATTCACCTTTATATCTAGCGTGTGAATACCCGACTTCATCGTCTTCTAGCGGTGAGTCTCCAGATCCTACAATAAAAAAGAACAGAAACTGCAGCAAGGAGAGCCACACGATATGGACGAATATTTTGAAGCACTGCTTTGGCAACAGTCATGCAAGAGGGGCTTATTAGAACGCAGAGCCAAGAGTGAAAGCTTCGGTGGCCATTCACGAAGGGACAGGGGTACCTCTCAGAGTGAACCTGGCTGGGCTGAGATTGCCAGAGCCAATCAAAACGAACCTCCGTCTGCTTTGGAATCACCACAAGCCAACTGGAATTCTGGACTCAGAACAGAAAGTCAACTTCACTCTGAGAAGACGCCAATGTATATGAATCTCATGCCAGGGGAGACGCAGTAAAATGTGTGTGACTCAGACATGGCCTATGGTTTCTCCGGCAGTCAAAGAAAACCCAGGAGAACCGAGTGTTTGTGGTACCTGAAAATCAGTCCATCTTGTAAAATGAATTTGGGTGTCTAATCTTAATGACAAAAGAAATGCAAAGCTACTTTGATATATTTGTAGGAAAAGAGGGCCGAAGTCAACAATCTGGATGTTTACTTGGAGCCTCTCACCCAGGCATCACTAAAGTAAAGTTTCTTGATGAGTCTTGCTACCCTTGAAAACCACAGCCTTAGAGGGAAAGTCTGTATTCAATTTTAAAATTTAAACTCATTTAGCAGTTGGAACCAAATCATTTTTAGAATATCCAATACTGAATTCCAGTAAGTGGTACAATCTTAATCTTTAAATTGGCATCAGGGCCCAAACTTCAAAACCTTAATCTTAAATTTACATACCTTTCCCTTTAGACTTCCTGGTCTGATCACTGACCATGGAGTTAGCACCATCATGGTCACACATTTACCTAGAGGGACAAGGGCAAGGGCAAGCACACTCTCTATCATGAGGCTTTTCAAATCCCCACACAGGATAAGTGAATGAGTCATGGTCCCTGCTCTAGTTATATTCTGGATGAGAGAGAGCATGGAAATTGAAAGTGGGAAGGTGATGAAGGCTGGACCATGTCCATTTGAAAAAAGCCCCTACTCCCCACCTAGGGAAGCCCAGTTCTGTGTCTCTCTTTGCTCCAGGTTTCTGGCCACTCAAACAGGTACAAAGTTACGTAAACTACTCCTCACTCAATAGCAAAAAGTGAACGTGAAGACCAGTATTGCCCTTCAGGAAAGCAATCTAGCTACCTGAATCAAAAGCCTATGTTCAAACCCCTTTATCGAGTCATCCCACTTCTGGGAATCTATCCCAAGGAAATAATATTAAATATAGGAAAAAAAAATTTGCACACAAAGATTTCTTTGCAACGTCACTTATAATAGCAGAAGACTATAAACAGACCAAATAGTCAATATCATGGTTAAATAAACCACAGCATATTCATTGGATTATACTATAATGGGTCCATTAAAAATAATGTTTATAAAAAGATACAACAGCATGGGAAAAGGTTATAACATTAAGTAAACAATGTGCTATGGCAAAGTTATACAAATGGTGTGATTTATACCAATGTAAAACAACCAAATTCAAAATAAACAATGCTTAGAAGACCTTATGCTAATTGGATGTTTTTCTTCTTTCCTGTCTAAATTTTCTACTATAAACATGTATTACTTTCACAATGGAAAATAAACTTTATTATGCATAGAATTCAGAGAAGCTTAGCTTCCAAAATACATTTTGAATATATTAGAAATGTTTAAGAATCTGCTGTCCCTCTCCTCCCACCCTGCCCCCATTTCTCTCCACATTCAGAGCTGAACTGGATTCCTCAAAGAATTGCTGGATTCTTCAAGTCCATATGGCATAGCTCATATTAAGTGTCAAGAGATCTATTTCATATTAAGAGCACTTCTTCTGGGGCACCTGGGTGGCGCAGTCGGTTAAGCGTCCGACTTCAGCCAGGTCACGATCTAGCAGGTCCGGGAGTTCGAGCCCCGCGTCAGGCTCTGGGCTGATGGCTCAGAGCCTGGAGCCTGTTTCCAATTCTGTGTCTCCCTCTCTCTCTGCCCCTCCCCCGTTCATGCTCTGTCTCTCTCTGTCCCAAAAATAAATAAACGTTGAAAAAAAATTTAAAAAAAAAAAAAAAAAGAGCACTTCTTCTTCCCCCAAGTTAGCCTGGTCTCCATATCATCTACCTGGGCAGTAAGAGGCTGTGGACTTATATTTCTGGTTCAAAGCAAAGAAGGCAACTGTCACAGGTTGGGTTCTCTGGGAAGTGGCTTGTGAGATGGTGTATAGTGCACAGGAGGTCTATTAGGGATCAACCCCTGTGAAGGGACTAAGAAGGAAACAGGTTTGGACAGAGGGACAAGTCGAGCTTTGATGTCAGCCCAAGGACACCCTCTCAGGTTGGGTATAAATGGCTGAGCCTTTATATTCCTGCCTCCATCAGCCATAGGATATGGCCCACGTTGGAAGGACATGACCACGGGCAAAGCACTCCCAACAGCTGAGGCAGTCTCTGAAGGGGTTGAAAGCTAATGGCTGACCAAGGCCAGCATTGCCTCCAGCTGAGACCACTGGCCCTTCCTCGAAGGAAGATCTGGTCAGGGCAATCCATGACCACCACAACACTTGCTCATTGACAAATAACTTGAGATATGTAAATGCATGGTGGGGGAGGACACTCCATAGAGAAGGGAAGAGGCTGAGACCTACTGGAGAGGCAGGTGACCCTGGGGTGCACAGTCCCATTTTGCCAGTAGATCAGCATTTTAAGACACATTCGCCACATATTGTTTATTAGAGGGAAAATTAAACATGTGACAATAGGGGAATGAGCAACCAAGTTATCCTCTATCAACAAGCTATTATATACCCACTAATCAAGTTTGCAATAGGGAAATGTGTATGAAATACAGCCAAGGAAAAAAGCAAATACTGCAAACTATATACAGAATGAAGCATAAAACTGAATATACACACACATATACATATAATACTGACCCATGTAGGTCAAATTTGGAATATGATAAGGTAGGAGGACTAATCAGTGGGGGAAAAGGTCAATAAATATGCTAGGATTAAATGGATATGCATATGAAGAAAAAAATGAGTCCCATCTTGCACCACACCAAAAAAACATTTCCAGAGAGGTTATAGGCCTAAATTTGAAAGCCAAAAATGGGAGAAAAAAATGCTGAATATCTGCATGATCATGAGGTAAGGAAAGACTATTAAACAAAACTTACAAACAATAACCTATAAAGGAAAATACTGCTACACTTCACCACACTAAAATGTAAAAATTCTGGGGATGTTTGGGTGGCTCAGTCGGTTAAGTGTACGACTTCGGCTTAGGTCATTATCTCACGGTTCATGGGTTTGAGCCCCACGCCGGGTTCTGTGCTGACAGTTCAGAGCCTGGAGCCTGCTTCAGATTCTGTATCTCCCTCTCTCTCTCTCCGCCTTTCCCCTGCTTGTGCGCTCTCTCCCTCTCGCTCTCTCTCTCTCTCTCTCTCTCTCTCAAAAATAAATAAGCTTAAAAAATAAAATAAAATAAAATAAAATAAAATAAAATAAAATAAAATAAAATGTAAAAATTTGGTGTAATAAGAGACACATGAACAAAGTTTAAAGACAAGTCCCAGACTTGGAAAAAATATTTGCAATGCATATAATACAGAATTACTATCCAGGATATATGAAGAAAACAGTCCAATGGAAAGAAATGACAAATATGAACAAGTACTCCTGAATTTAAAGCAAATGGGACAAAATGTTACTAGGAAAGACTCCTGAACCTCACTAGTGATCAGGACAATATATATCAAGATACCAATTCACACCATCAGATTGGCACAAATTTAACTGGCAAGAATGTGTTGATGCGGGAAGTCTCAAGTTCTTTTTAATATTTATTTTTGAGAGAGAGACAGAGAGACAGAGTGTGAGTGGAGGAGGGGCAGAGAGAGAGGAAGACATAGAATCTGAAGCAGGCTCCAGGCCCTGAGCTGTCTGCACAGAGCCTGACACGGGGTTCGAACCCATCAACCTACCGAGCCACCCAGGCACACTGGGAACTCTCAAGTTCCGCTGGTGGAGTACAACTGGTACTACTAGGGTGAAGAGAAGCTTTGCACTGCGTTTGAAACTAACCCTTCAAATCAGCCATTCCACGTCTAGACATATGCCTCAGGAAAAAGAAAAGAGAAAACCTTGATAATGAGCTGAAAGGAGACAGAGATGGTTCACATGACCACCCTGAACACAGCGCTCTCCCTGGCAGGGGTAAAGCGACGATTTTCTTTTCTTCATTTGTTTCTTTGGATGGCCGGCTCAAACCCAAAGTCAAGCATTCTCACTACTGCTTTTACTTAAATTAGAGACTGCAAGGCAGACATTTCAGATTATCTCAATTCGGAATCCTGGCAGAGGTTACCTTTATTAGCATCTTGATTAGCAGCTCACTTACATTGGTCCATCCCCCTCCGCCTAGATCCCAACCCACCATCATCTGTCTCCCTAGCACTGACAGGCGGCAAACAGCAAATGGATTTTGCATACTGCAATAACAATACGCCAGGGAAGAGGGAGCCCGCAAAAGCAAGAAGGATCTGTGTTCGCCAAACGCTGCTGTCAGCCTGTCAGCCATTCTCCTCTCTCTTCTCGCTAAAAGACCCCCAGGTTGTGTTCAGCAGCAGTGTGCCCGTCCCCAGGAGATGAACTATAATGGCTGTAAGTCAGGAATTCCCCTTTGCCAACGACTGTTCCAAGGGTAGGCAAGAAACCCAGTATTGGCCAATGGCAAGTAAAAAGAAGTCTGATTTGGGGGGATGGGGCATATGGGAAAGATTTTCTCCTTGATAAAAGAGAGAACTGCACAAGTAGAAAACTCTTTTGCCCTCTTTTCTCTCCTCCTGTTTTGGAAGCTATTGTGTAAGGATGACTGCCTAAAGCTATGGCAGCCATTTTGCAACCATGAGGTAAGATGTGGCGACTCCTAAAGATTTTCAGCTGAGGATGAAAGAGTGGAAGGATAACAAGAATCTGGGGTCTGTAATGACCTTATTGGGCTACTAAATCAACTTAGACATCTTCCCTCCATACTTCCTGTTAGGTCAGTAATAAATGTCCTTTCAATTTAAGGTTCTATGAGTAGCATTGTTTAGTACTCGCAGCTGAGTGCATCCAAACTGAAGGGAAAATTTACTGCCTATTACTGATAGGGGATAAAAGAAGTGGAAAGAAAATAAATGGATATTAGCCATCCCTCTCCAAAAGTGTCCAGTTTGTATTCAGCCTAAATGCATACATCAATTTCTATAAAAAATAATGACCAGTCTACAAAATGAACATACTGAACAATACGATAGGACGGACCAAAGATGAACATGTTGTTCAGCGGCTTTTACTTCTAGAGTTTCATAAGCAGTAGAAGAGATTCATACATATTGGGGATGTTCCATAGGGTTACAATGAAAAGAAAGGAAGGAAGAAACAGACAGAGGGCGGGGAGGAGAGAAGGAGGCTCCCTAACACATTCTTCGTTATTTAGGAAAGTCTATTCCTTTAGAATTCTGGTTAACTGAGGTTTTATTATGACAACCATTAATCAGTCCTCATATGGTTCAGATTACCACTCTTTGGAAAGAATGCTTCAGTGCTTCTTCCACACAAATACAAATTCTACATTGGCTCAGAAATCAGAAACTCGGTGCCATGAAGGATTCTGTCCCTCAGCCATACCTGGAGCCAATTCCATTTATAATTCTGCTCTCCTTGCAGAAACTTCATCTAATTCAACAGATTTCCAAAGAAATAGCCACTTTTCTCCCCCACAGTTCAAATAAGGGTCTTCCTGGTCTACTGAATCCCATGCTATCATTCTGAATGTCCCATGT